TGGAAAGTAATTTATTTGTGACCAACGAATTTAACTCAGTGTGTCATTTGAAATGTCTGACAGGTTCTTTAATGTGAAAATGAAAGTTTAAATGTTATAAATGCATTCTTTCCTCTTCCATTTTAGCCAAAGCTCACAATTATTTCTAGCCTAATTGTTTAGACCAATTAGTATTTCTGGATCATTGCACCACTGCACTGCTTTGAGTTAGTTTTCCACTGTGACATCTTTGTAGAGAAATGTTCAGCTCAGCACAATGAAGGACAGCTTCTCGGGAATACACCAATGAAAGCAAGGCACACCGATACAAAGGTGACAAAAATAATGTCCAGAACATGTCTAAGTTGTGCAACTGAGATGGAACCTTCTCAGGGAGAAAGTTGTACACTTCTCGGGCATGATGCTGAGCACAGTTCAATTACGTGATGTATAAGAGTGAGTGCCTGCATGACCAGTGAGAAGGTGTTTAGAGCCTGTTTTGGGCATCTTTGTTGCGCTGCTATTGAATTGTGCATATTCTCCTATTGTGCATTCCCAAAACAATGCAACGTAAAATTGATATCAATGTCCAGCCAGGTTTAAAATGTACTCAATCAGTTCATTGGTCCTTGTTGGAACATTCTGGTCCCACTTTTCACTCCTGGGGTGGGATCGCAGGGGCATCCAATGAGATTGGGCCAACATCCTTCACTATTGCCGTGCAGGGGAGGTATAAAGGGCACATCCTCAGGCACCGGCTGGAAGTCTATTCGATAATTCTGCAACACACAGTCCTCAAGTTGGTTCTCCCTGAAACTTTGTGACTCTCTGAACTTGGTTTCCACTGTGGCCGATAGTTGCTGGCTGCTATTTAATTTAGTTTGGCCAATATCCTGTCAGGCTAGATTTCTCCAACTGTAGGACAACTTAGAATGTCCAGCTTTGGGCTGTGGTCACATGACTATACTCTAAACTCCAATGAGCACAGGCCCAACCTACTCAATCTCTCCTCATAAGATAGTCCCTCCATAGTGAGCCTTCTCTGGACTGTCTCAAATCTCAAAATACCTTTCCTTAGATAAGATTTATTTAGATTTATTTATTTGTCACATGTACTAAGTATAGGAATACATAAGTACAGCAATTCACCATTCGCTGGCACCCATTTGGTTACAAAAACCAGAATTAAAATATTTAATAGAGCCAAAAGATAAGCAAGAAAAAAAGAAAAGTCCACATCTCAGAGTCCCAAGTCGCATCTCCGCAACGGTGCAGGCGCTGCTCCATTCGTTGCGTCACCCAGGAGGGCGCCACCGCCGCTGCCATGTGAAAGGCCTGCTCTCACCGCCATTGCCCCCTCACCAGCCTGCTCTCACAGCCAACAGCTGCCCCCTCACCAGCCCACTCTTACCGTTGACTGCTGCCCCCTCACCAGCCCGCTCTCACAGCCGTCGCCCCCTTCACTGGTCTGCTCGCACCATCGAACCAGCCCATGCTTGATCTGCTGTTGCTGCAGGACACAGCCCAGGCATTCAGCTCCTGCTACGCGGTTCCCAGTCATGACCTGACTCCTTAGGTCAATAGCTAAAAAGGTGGGGGTTTGGGGGGCGTGGGGGGGTAGAATTACTGCAGACAGGAGCAAGAAGAAGAAGAGAAAAAGAAAGGAAAAGGAAAGGGATCTGGTGAGCAGAGTGGTGCATCAAATGGAGCAACTTACCATGTCACCATCTTGCTGGGCTCAAAACTGTTCACAGTTCTCCAGGTGTGGCGTGAATAGTGCCTTGTAGAGTTTGAGCAAAACCTCCTTATTTCTATACTCTATTCCTATCATGGATTCACTGTTTCGCTATAACCAAGACATTGATCATATCAGGCTTGCAGAATTAACTCTCTTCCCACAGATGCTGCCAGATTTGTTGAGTTTTCCAGCACTTTCTTTTTTTATTTCAAACATTGGAGGCAATGGTTTAATTCACATAATCACCTTTCACATTGCTCTGTTTTCTATTTAATGTGGTCATGAGGCATCAAGGACAGAAAACGGACCTGAATTCAGGTTTGCCTGTTCTCAGACTTGCCTGGTTCCTCTGGGATCCATTTGAATTGCAGTCTTTAGCTCTGTTTAGTGAGGGCACCAGTGTAACAGATGAAGTAAGAAGTGATCAACTGGGCAGAGAATGCTGAGTTGGTAACCCCAAGTGAAAATATACATACTGGCCCACAACTTAGTTCAAGGGAGTTACTGTGAGTTAAGCCTGGATTATAGCATAATAAAGATTTGAACAATTCATATATTAAATAATTCAATGGACCATTATCTGAACAGAAAAAGCTATGGATGCGGGAAATCTGAAACTAAAACAGGTATTGCTGGAGAAACTCAGCAGGTCTGGCAACATCTGTGGAGAGAAAACAGCAGTAACGTTTTGGGTCCAGTGGCATTTTTTCCAGAAAGCATCTTTCTGGGTAATAAATGAGATCCCTTTTGCAGCCATTCCCTGCCACATAGAGCATGTAAATCCCCATTTCTGAAGAAGGGTCCCGACCCAAAACATCAACTTCCCTGCTCTTCTGATGCTGTCTGGCCTGCTGTGTTCCTCCAGCTCCACGCTTGGTTATCTATTTATTCTAATCCCATTTTTCAGCACTTAACCCATAGCCTTGCATGCTGTGGTGATTCAATTGCTCTTCTGAACAGTTTTTAAATGTTGCGGGGGGATCCTGCCTTTACCACTATCTAAGGCAGTAAGTTTCAGAAACCCATAACCCACCGGGTGAAAAGAAAAGCTTTCCTCAATTCTCCTCTAAACCTCTGCTCCTTACCATAAAACTGTGTCCACTGGTTATTGACCCCACTACAAAGGGGGAACCACCTCTCTCTTGCCATTAATTCTATTGCCCTTCTTAGTCTTCTGCTAAAACTGAATTATGCCAAGAGAAATATTTACATCCTGCTAGAAACATTCATGTGCTTCACACCCTACATCCCATGATTGTCTATACTGCTTGCTTTCATTTTCAATTGTCAGCTCACTGTCTTCCAATGTTGAACCTATCTGCCAATAACTCCATGCTGTCTTTCAGATTTACAATTAGATGGCCAGATCGCAATGCTTCCTGAAAAGGGTACATGCCTCTATGGTAATGCTTGTGGTCAAAAGGAACAGGAGTATTTCCTAACAGGCCTATTGATGCTGTTCTGCTTCCCCAGTGCTCAGGAGCATCCATCATAATGAACAACCCACTCTTTAGGAAGGCCAAACAAAACTCCTAGCCCCAAGATCACCCACAACCAATGGGATTGAACCAGACTTCAAGAGCCAGACCTGCCAACACCTCTTCATGCCATCTCTGGCCCAATCAGAGGCTCCTTAAAAGGCACATGTTGCATGAGACCTGGCTACGACTCCCCAGTAGAAAGCCTGCCCCCATCAAGATTTGCTGAATACACTATTGATTGTTCATAAATATTTGTCCCCAAAAGTCCATGAAAACTTTGGCATTTGCTTGTTTGGAACTTGTGTTGCAAATTTATGCAGATTGAGGGCAGCTTCTTCATTAAAAAATCAACTCTCACGTCTCTAAATCACTAAGGTGCATTTTGGATGAAATCTACAATATGAAAGAGAGGCCGTCTAATCCATGGTAAGGCAAGATACTGTCCTCTAATCACCTGAAAATATCTGTCATCATCCCAGTTATTACTGAGGGAGAAAAAAAGTTGTCACAAAACTTCATTCATAAAAAGACCCATCTGTTCTTTTGTTTCCTTCAAATAATTAAATTTTATGACAATAACAATTTCTATCAAGTGTATAAATCTTTATAACAACAAGCACTGGATTCTAAATATGCTCCCACTTAAACAAAATGTCAACAAGGAGCCATCAATCAAAGGGTAGTAGATGTTTGGAACTCTCTTCCACAAATGGCATTGGATGCTAAATTCATCATTAAATTTAGTTTTGAGATAAATAATTTTTTTGTTTAGCCAAGCTATTTAGGTATATGAGCCAAAGGCAGATTGGTGATAGGTCACAGATCAGCCATGACATCATTGAATAGTGGAACAGGCTTAAGGGGCTCATAAGCAATAGTCAACAATGTGTCTTACACAAAAGTTTTCTTCAAACTTCCAACTTATGTTTGGTCTGAATCAGGAAAGCACGCAGTCTCTTTTTATTACCTCTCCTGCCTAGTCAATTTCAGTGCTATGTTATGAGCCACACAGAGAATTACACTGGGAATTGACTCACTGACAAGTATGAATTAAATCCCTTGTGTCAACATTTATGAGATGTGTCATTTGTACACTTTCTGCTGATTCAGGACCCTGATGTCATGGTTCTAAATTCAGCAACATTTTCAGCTATTTTTTATTGCAGTCAGATACAGTGATACTGTTTCTTCCCATAAAGGTGAACGTGATATCTTATTAGACCGCCAAATCATGCCAGTACAACAAATGTTTATGAAAAATGAAAAGTGAAGTTTTGACATTTATGAAATCTATGGACTGAAATATGTTACCATCAATCTTAACCATGTTGCATTGATAGAGTGAAAATTATTGCATATATTTAAACACACATAATGTCATCTTTAACATACGTCCAAAATGATTAAATAAATAATTTAATTCCCCAATGCAGTTATGACATCTATTTATAATACAAAAGAATTATTTAGATATACTCTAGGGATAAGAAAAGGACAGATCTTAGCCCAATTGATTAACACCATACCAGTCTCATCACTGTATTTGACAAATTGAAAGGAATCATCAATACCACCATAAAATTATACCAATAACCTGTACACTCATACTGTCATTCAACTCCTCAATCATCAAAGCCTTGATAATCTCAAATAAATGGCAAAGGTGATGAGAATAACTTCTCTCAGCATCAAAGCAATCTTCCTTCTGATTCATAAAGTTCTGTTTTCAAGTACTACACAAGAGATTTAAGGATATAAACTGTTCCCTGGCTACATCCCTATCCATCCACCATTTCGCAATGGTCCCCTCTGTCTCAGCTCCTGCTCTCTCTCTGCCCGGGTTCATCCTTGGATACTTGATCTCTCCAGGTTGCCACTCTTCCTGGGCTTCAGCCAAGGATAGGCCAACTCTGCAATGAGAAGCAGGAACACCCAATCTAATGGATTTGATAGCATAGATAGAAACTGTTTCCTTAGATGAGCGAATCCAGAACAAGGAGACATCATCTCTCAGATCTACTTTTAAATTTATGGCGGGAAGAATTACTTCACATAAAGATTTGGAGAAATCGTAACCCCAGCCTTCAAAATGTGTTTGAATTAAGTCAAATGAGAATTGGAAAACTGAGATTAATGTACCTTTGAAAGTCAAGGGCACTCAGGGCTATGGAAACAAGGCAGGTCAATGCACTTAAATAACATACTTAATTGATGAAATACGGTCAGAGGGATAAATGTCTCTTTTTATTCATATGTTCCTGACACTGGGCGGTCCACCTATGTAGGATTCAGGAGTGATGGCAGTGAGGTTAAAAGGAGCAGTGGGTGCACAGAGGTCCCAGAAGCAGACAGACCTGTAATAAACCTCTGTGGGACTGGGGAGCAGCAGCAATGAGATTAAAAGAAGCAGAGAGTGTGGAGAGGACCTACAGCAGGCAGGATCCCACAAGCAGACAGATCGGGGATAGTTATCTGGGATTGAAGAACAGCAATGTTAAAAGGAACAGTGAGAGCAGTGTGATCCTACAAGCAGGCTGACCTCCAGGAGAGCCACTTCAACAAGATCAAACTGTGCTGTCACAGGAGAGCAAGTAAGTAATCAGTGGGTAGTTCTCTCTTGTCTCCTATGACTGAGTATTGATTTAAGCTTAGCCTGTAAGTACAGCTTAAAAACTTTACATAGACAATTGATATTTTGGAACTGCAAGATTAAATTTCTCCTCTTAATAGAGTTAAGGGATTCTGGTTGTTTGACAAAAAATCAGAATAAGATTTTTCTTGTCTATATTTAAGTTGGAGTAAGAGTCTGATCAAAAGAAGGGTCCATGTTCTATTTAGATACGATATGCCTGGAGATGGGGAATTGAAAAGCATGACTTCAAAGGTAGTAATTTCTGGATTACTCCCAGTGATGCGCAATGTTGAGTATAGGAATAGAGGGATAGAGCAAAACTTGGCTGAAAGATGAGCAGGATTTTTAGCTCAACATTCATTGCTATAAAGTATTCAGATGAGATAAAAGCAGTGATACAATAGTGGTAGCAATATTAAATCCAAGAATCAGTTATAACAGGGATGGTATATTGGATGGATCATGAAATGAGGTTATATTGGTGGAAGCAAAAGTAAAAGCACAAAAAGGGCAAACATGATGCTGGGTCTGTGCTATAAGTCCCCAACAAGTCAAACAGCAAAGAGCAACAGAAGATCAAAAATCTAATCAAATTTAAGAGAAGTGTTAGAATAATAAGGCATTAAACTAACTACTCAACTATTAGCTTGGATAGTTGTCGTGTGCAAGATAGTGAGGGAGTAAAATTCTTACATTGCACTCAAGAGAATAATTTTGGTCAGTACATAAAAAGCCTATAAAAAAAAGGAGTCAGTTCTGGGCCTAATATTTGGAAATGAGTCTAGGCAGGTTCAAAGTATATCAGAAGAAGAAAATTTGGGAGATAATGATTATAACTCAGTTTTAGGATACTTATGGAAAGGGATAAGGATGGAAAATAATAATGCTGGAAATAAAAGTTCTAAACTGGGGAAAGGTTAATTTTACTAAGAAAAGATAGTTTTGCTCAAGTGGCCTAGGAACAGTGACTAGCTAGTAAAATTGCCATTTGGAACTCTTAGGCACCTGAGAAATGGGCTCTGTATCATCCAGTTCTTCAGTCACTATCTTTTCACCTGAGGATTCTGAGTTTTCATACACTCTTGTCAGTGCTTTTCCCAGTTGCACTGTCAATGTGCATTCTGTAATTGTTTGTATTATTGACAGTTTTTATTGGCTAAAGAAGCCGGATTTGAAATTCATGTTTCACGATGAATATGCCAAAATGCTTGGCATACATATGTGTTGAATGCAGTTTTATTCAGAGTCGGTGTATTTAATCACTTCCTTTTCTCTTCCAACACAGTCACATGTGTAACTCCAGGCAAAAAGAGATGTAGCAGCCTGGATGTTCTGCTAGTTAATGGCAGGGTGCTTGTTGTATTGGGCTAGTGGGAAGTTTCATGCATAATGTATTAAAATATATTGTTCACAAAGGAGTTCATATGAGACATTTCTTTTTACTGTTTATGCTTTAGTGCATGGTGCACTGCTGTGCTGGTAATGATGACTGCTGTAGCACTAATTACCTTGATAGCCTCTTTGCAGTTCTTTGTCAGAATAATGAACTCTTATGACTGCACTTAGACTACAACCATTGTGCCGGTATGAAGTTCCTTGGCACATGAATTGAATGTTGTATTGTAAAACCAAAATAATGACTCTAACTAACTCAAGTATAAATATTTTTGAGCTATGGGCCAAGTGCTTGAAAATAGGATTAGAATAGTTAGCTGTTTGTTTTTGACAGTGATGGTCTCGATTGGCCAAATCAAGTGCTGTAAACCCCTATGACTCTAATTCTGCATATGATTCTGTTTTTGACCAAAATTTCACACAATTCTGCAAAATTGCAGGTAGATGTTTACATTTCCATACCAGTAATATATATTTGGAGTTGCATCTCTTACCTCTTGGTTGAAAATAAAATTAAATACTGTCCTTAACTATCTTACATTTCTTGGTGCTACAAGCTATGTTTGAGTTCTCTCTACGTATTTTCTGTATTCTGCAATTCTCACAATCTTTCTAATGTAGTGAAATTTTACAATGTCTGATGACTGAATAAAATAATAATTTTATTAGCTAATTTCTGCCTATTGCTGCAAATTCAGTAAAAGATTGTAGTAGTTCTTTCCAGATTTGGCATTGGACTGTTAGATTGACTTCCAAATGTGCTGGAGGTTTTCAATACTGTATAGAAACAAGTTTATGACATTATAATTATGTTTAGCACACTGATTTTTTCCTACCTTTACAGAAATGTCTTGCTATTTAGTTGGAAAAGAATGTCGAATAGAATATCCTTTATTGTCACATGTATTCAATGCAAAATACAGTGAAAGTGTGTACTGTCGCCTGTACATTGGCATCATTTGCATTAACTTAGAATAAAGTAAAACAAAGATAACTTAAAGACAGTCCAACTGTTCCTTCTGTGCTGCTACAGCAGACCACTGCCAGTGTCCTGCTCTGGGCTTCCCAGCCCATGCCATGCCGCTGAGAATGTCCCGCTCAAGGCTTTCCAACCGAGGTACAATTTGCCAGATACAAAATAACTTACTCATTTCAGTTCACACTTGATGGGCTGAAGGACCTCTTCAGTGCTGCATAACTGGCTGACTCCATGACTCATTTGTTACATTTGCTTCAGCAAAGCCCAGCTTCCACTAAATTGCAATTTTCACGTTACATGATTTTTCTTTGAAGAAATCTTTTTGCATAATACATAAAATGACATATTGTACCAAGCAGAAGTTAATATTTATGCTCCTAAATAAAGGCACATCTTTTTGAAATGCTTTTGTTGCCTCAGTAACTGGGTTCATTCTCATGACTGGCGTTGCATATATGTGCAGGTAACTGTTCAACTGATGTAGTAAATGGTACTCTTCTGGATCCTCTATCTAAATAAAGCAGGGGTTCCTTTAAATGAGGAATTTCCTTGTTGCATCTACTACAAACGTCCTTCCTGCCCATCTGATCACAGACAGTAATTGTCAAATTCACAAATGCCTAATAATTGGAACTTCATACTCAAATTATTGTCATACCTAATCATGTGTTATGAAAATATTTTGTGCCGAACAAACAATCTCTTTAATTATTTCTTCCATCTAACTATTAAACACATCTGTTTTGTTCCATCAGTCCTCAAAGCATAAAGTTATTCTTTCATCTCTAATATGATTGAATGTGAGTGAAATGAATCTCGCAAATTGAAGCATTTGGAATAAAGCATGAATACTATAGCAATAGATGACAGAATTTTTTTTAAAGAAACCTGGCTGCTATATTTCATCCATTTGGAACACTTTAATCAAGACACAACATAATGGGTATAGAAGACAATCTACGAACATCTGTGTTTAGAAGCAGCAATTGGCTCCTCAGCCCTTCTAGGTCTGGTCTTCAATAGGATCATGGCTGATCCAAGTACTTCTTACTTGTGGTAACATTATCATCTTGCTTTTCAAAAATCTATCTACCTCAGCCTTGAAAGTACTCAAAACCTCTGCTTCCACCACTTTTTAAGGAAGGGAATTTCAACATTCACCATCCTTTGTGAGAGTCAAAGAAATTCCTCATACTAGTCTCAAATAGATGACTCCTGATTTTTTTTTTCAAAACTGACTTCCAGTTCTAGATTCTCTCACTACAGGAAACATCCTTTCAAAATCCACCCTGTCAAGATCCTTCAGGATGTTATATATTTTAAACTAAGTCCTTTGGATTAAAGTCCTTTGGATACAAGCCTTGCCTGTCCACCCTTTCCTCATAACCTGTCCAACTAGGTATTGGTCCAGTAAACCTACTTTGAAATGTTTACAAATGTATTTGCATTCCTCCTTAAATATAGCACCTAATATGTACACAGTACTCCATAGGTGGTCTCAATGATTTCATGTATAGCTGTAGCATAACCTCCCTACTTTTGTATTTAATTTCCTTCATAATAAACAATAACATTTTCTTATTTCTCTTATTTACTTGCTTTACCTGTATACTAACGTTTTGCAAATCTTGTACAAGGACATTCAGATCGCCCCATATCTCAGAGCCATGAAATCTCTCACTGTTTGGATTTTTTTTATTCTCCTTCCAAAATGGATAATTTCACATTTTTCCACATTACACTTCATTTATCAGATGATTTGTCAATTCACTTAACCCATCTATATCACTTTGTAGCCCACTTATGTCCTCTTCACAATTAATTTTCCTATGTATCATTCTGCTGTTAACAATTTCAGCAAAAATATTTTTGGTCCTTTACTCCAAATGATTTATAGTATTTTATAAAAGTTGAAAATCTAGTGCTGATTCCTGTTGTATCCACTCATTATATCACACTAACCAAAAACTAATCCATTTATACCTACTTATCGTTTCCAGCAAGCTCACCAATCTACTGTCTGTTATATGCCACACCAGGAACTGGTATTTTCTGCAGTAGCCTTTGATGTAGCATTTTATCAAAGGTCTTTTGGAAATCTAAGTACAGTACATATGCACCAGTTCCTCATTATCCACAGCACATGAAGAACTTCTTTAAAGAACTCCAATAAATTGGTTAGACTTGATTTTCCTTTCACAAAAGCGTGTTTAGTCTGCCCGATTAACTCCAATTTTTCTAGCTCCCTGCTATGACATCTCTAATAATAGCTTGTTACATTTTGCTTATTACAGATGTTAAGCTAACTGGCTCCTTGTCTCCTTTACCATTTGACTAAAGAAATATTTTCTGTTTTTTTTTTCAGTCTAATGGAGCATTTCCTAAATCCAGATAACTTTGAGAAATTAAATCCACTATGTCAGTTTCATAATTAGCTATTCGCTTTAAGACCCTTGAATTAAGTCCATCAGAACCCAAAGGATTTGTCAACCTACATCTCCAACAATTTGTTCAGCACCACTCCTCAAGTGATTACAATTTTCTTGCGTTTCTCTGCCCCTTTCATTCCAGGTTTACAGTTATTTCTGGGATGTTACTTGCTGAGGTTGTACTAAATCAGTAGAGATAGGAAGACAGAAATATAGGCAAATCTCAGAAAATTATAAAAATAATAGGGTAATAATGGGGTAGGGGATTTCAACTTTCCCAATATTAACTGGGACAGACAGTGCAAAAGGCACAAAGGGGATCGAAGTCTTAAAATGCATCCAGGAGAGCCCTTTAAGAAAGGATGTAGAAAGCCCTACAAGAGAGGGGTGATGTTGGACCTAATTTTAAGGAAAGAAGCCAGGCAATTGGTCGTTGTTACAGTTGGTAACCATTTCAGTGATGGTGACCATTATTCAGTAAAATTGAATGTAATTATGGAAAAGGACATGGATGGACCAGAATTAAAGGTTCTGATTTGGCGAGAAGGTTGATGTTAATAAGATAATACAGGGTCGGGCCAAAGTGGATTGGGAACAGATTCTGGCAGGAAAATCCATATAGAAGCAGTGGGAAGCATTCAAACATTCAAAAAGATAACAATGAGAGTGCAGAGCCAACATATTCCTGTAAAAGTGAAGCGTAGGACCAAGTGTTGAGAACCCTGAATGTGCTGGAATGTATAATGAATAAAAATGAAGTTATAGTAGATGGTAAGAACTGCCGATGCTGGAGTCAGAGATAACATAGTGTGGAGCCGGAGGAGCACAGGAGGCTAGGAAGGATCAGGGGAGCAGGACAGTTGACCTTTCAGGTTGGGACTCTTCTTCAGAGATGTACTTGAGGAGTATATAAAGTGCAGGGGGTTGCTTCAAAAAAAATTATGAGAGCAAGGAAGAAGAAAAGACACTGGCGGATAAAATTAAAGAAAATCCAACAATGTTTTATGAGCATTTTAGGTCAACAGAATAACAAGGGAAAGAGTAGGGCCCACAGTGACCGAAGTGGCAATGTGTGGGGAGCTGAATGACATAGCTGAGGTTTTAAATGAATATTTTGTTTCTGTATTCACTATGGAGAAGGTCAATGTAGACATAAAATTCCAGTAGGGTTCTGTGATTTACTTAAACGAATTAGCTTTGAGAGGAGGTATTAAAGAGTTTTAGGAGGCTTGAAAGTGGATAAATCCCCAAGCCCAGATGGGATGTATCCCAGACAACTGTGGGAGGCAAGGGAGGAGATTGCAGGAGCTCTGAAATTAATTTTCAAATCTTAACAGCCATTATTTTCTCATTATCACCAAGAAAGGTGATACAGATAAATGAGGAAACTATAGGCAAGTGAGTCTAACAACTCTGATAGAGAAACTATTGCAAAAAAAGTTCTGAAGGATAAAATTGATGCCCACTTGGGCAGACAAGGTTTAACCAAAGATAATTAGAATGGATTGTAAGGGGGAGATCATACATGATAAATTTGATTGAATTTTGCAAGGAGGTGACTAGATATGTAGACGAGGGTCGGTGCAATTGATTTATTTTACATGGACTTCAGAAGGGTTTTTAACAAGGTGTCACATGGCAGACTGGTTAAAAAGCTAAAATCATTGGATCCAGCGCAATTTGACAAATTGGATCTAAAATTGGCTGAGTGGCAACAAGCAGAGGGTAGTGGTTGAAGGGTATATTTATGACTGGAAGTTTGCGCACAGTAGCATACTGTGGGTTTAGTGCTTGTTGTCTTGCTGTTGTTGTGCATATTAATTATTTAGACATGAATGTAGGAGGTATGATTAGTAAGTTTGAAGTTGAATCAAAAATTGGTGGTATGGTAAATAGTAAGGAGAAAACCTTAGACTACAGAGCAAAATAATTGGCCTGGTCAGATGGGCTGAACAAAGACTAATGGAATTTAATTCCAAATATGTGAGGTGATGCATTTTGAGAGGCCTAACAAGGTAAGGGAGTAGATGTTGAATGTAGGACTCTAGGATATACAGCAGATCGGAGAGACAGGTGTGCATTTCCATAGATCCTGAAAGACAGCAGGGCCGGTGGATAAAATGGTTGAGAAGTCACATGTAATACTTGCCTTTATTCGTCAAGGCATTGAACATGAGAGCAAGGAGGTTATGATGGAGCTGCATATAATGCATGTTAGGCCACTGCAGGAGTACTGTGTGTAGTTTTGGTCATCACATTATAGGAAGGATGTGATTGCACTAGACAGAGATGTGATTCACCAGATTGTTGCCTGGGCTGGAGTGATTCAGCAATGAAGAGACTCTAGATAGGTTGGGGATTTTTTATCTTCAGACGAGGCTGAGGGGGAACTTGTACAAAGTTCTGAGGAATGGACAGCGTAGATAGGGAATTTTCTTCCCCATAGTAGAGGGGTCAGTAACCAGGGGGGCACAATTTTAGGGTACAGAGCGGGAGGCTTAGAGGGAATTTGAGGAAAATGCTTTTCACTGAGAGAATTCTGGATACCTTGTACTCACTGCTGATGTAGTGGTAGAGGCAGGAAATCTCAAGACATTTAAGAATAATTTAGATGAACATTTGAAATGCCGTAGCATGTGAACAAAGTGCTAGTAAATGGGAGTAGAATGGATGGATGTTTGATGACCAGTGTGGGTATGATGGGTTAAAGGGCTTCTTTCCATGGTGTTAAAAACTCTTTGACTCTATTTTTACTAATTCTGAAATATCCTCTTAAACTTTCTGCTGCTGCATCTCTATTGACCCATTCTTTATCCAATTTTACAGTTCACTTTCGCTCCTTACGCAATTTTTTTTCCTTCTCCTGCCTGGCCTTCATCAAGCCTAACTGAATCCTTCCCATCTCATTGTAAGTGCCTCTTCAGCTCTGAGCTAATGTTCTGAACGCTGGCGCCTTATAGGCAACATAGCAATTTGGACTATTAGCTTTGAAGTACAGTGTCAAACATCTCAATATACTGTCCTTATTTCCACCACATTGCATTTTGCTCCTGCTACTTTGACAGCTTCCTGTACACGGGGCCATAGTTACCTCATCTTCCTTGCTGCCATCAATCTCGTCCAAACAAACCATGAGAATCTCAATAATGTTGGGGAATCGCAAAGGCTAAGCCTCCTGCTCTCCTGCTGTCTGGGTCACCTGATCTGCCTCAGCTGCACGGATGTTATAGTGAACAAGTACAAAACATCCAGGACATTTTCAGCCTCCTTCATGTCGATAAGTATTTGAAGATCAGCCTCCAGCTCATAAAATTGAGCCAAAGTTCCTGCAGCAGCGAGACATCCTCCAGCTTGTTTGCCTTACATCCCACCAGCATCCAGCAGGATCCTCATCTTGTAGTCACCACACATCACGTGCCTACCATTTTCATTGCATTCATTTATTTCTTACTTAGTTAATGTGCAATCAATAAAACTTACTACTCCCAATTAACTTTATTACTGTTAGTAAAGTCTATTAAAACTAATAAAGCTTTGCAATTACTGATTAATTACCTGACTTGTGACAGATAAATGAGCAAAATACTCAGCAGCTTACCACTACCATAAGACATCTCGTGTTAATTTTTGTCTGGATGTGGTCAACTTACAGTGAACTGTTTGCATTGCTTGGGTGCTCCTCTCTTGGTCTTGATCTTGGTCTGTTCCCCTGTCAGGCAGTTTTTGAGGTCTCAGGCTGTTCCCCTCTTACACTGTTTGTGGATGCTTAGGCCAATGCCCTCTCACATTGGTTTCAATTTCTTTTGTTAGTTGTGTTTGTTTGATACACTTCTCTGACCTGGTAATAAATCAGTAACAGTACTGCTTAAGAATTGTCAAATGTTGTTTACACTGATCCAGTTGGTAGATATTAATCTATTAGAATTTGTAAGGAAATAAATTCATACTTTAACAAACCATTGCCACAACAATTGGTTCCTTGGAAACACTTCCTTGAATTGGCATCTCCTGTATTTCCATCAGATCTTAAATAACACCAACTTGCTTCACTGAAGCAGGATGGACATTTTAACAATAGTTAACGTAAACCAGGAGGATTGAAATTCAAGGTTTGTCATGGGGATACATATTAGAAGAAAACTCTAGCTTTTAGGCATCATCTCATCAAGCATTAAGCAGCTTCAACAGAAAACAGCAGTCAATATACTTTTGGGGAAATGCAATCTGCACAAAGTTTAAATTTACAACCTTCATTTTAATGAAATGGCATGTTTGAAGCTAAATCCTATTAAAGATTTATCTTGAAGAAATGTACTTGGACTACTGCAGTGATTAATTTACTTTATAAAATATCCTTTTCCAATGCTAAAGACTGCACTGACTAATCTGTTGTCAAAAAGTGTGCGTTATTGCACTTTGGTATATTTTTCTTTCATTTTCCAATGGATTTTAATGATATTTGTATGCACCCTTTTTATCAAAAAAAAAGACTGACAATGGTGCAGTTATTCAGATGAAATCTGCAGCTTAAGGCAAAACATTAATGTTAATGCTCTGAAGAAATAAGACAGTCGAAACCAAACGTCAATTATTCCTTCTAACTTAGTATGGCAATGGTGTTCAAGTTCAAACATCACCATTAGTTTTATAAACTGATGCACTAAAAGAATAATAACTGCATCATTTAATTTATGAATGATTGAATAAGTCAAATAGTAAAACCACTCCGTTTTTTTCTGCTACTATAGAATTTATGTACGTTTAATTTTCAGTCAGCTAAGCCTTACTATGAATCTAAAATCACTTACCACGTAAACTATTAAAAGACAAATGATTTCCTATAAGCCAGTAAATCTGAATGCTGAAGATTATGCTCATGTATGCATCTTTAAAAAATGCCCTGGAGGAGTCTACTTTGAAATCGACAAGTATGAACATTTATTACCAAAAATAACAGTGAAGCCAACAACAAATCATTGCAGATGCACAAATCAAATAGCAACTTCCAGTGAGTGAAGTGCATTAGCATGAAAAGAACAAATTTGCCAAAGCTGTGCAAAACCATTTCCATATTTAAGAGTTCTGAACAATATAATGTTTCTGTGGTTTTCTCAGGGATATTGACTAAAGCTGCTGCAAGTCATTTGAACGTGTTCATTTTCATTTACATGCCCTTTCAAGACATAATTGGTCATAACTGTTGCCAAACCACCTCCCTGACAAGTTGAGATGATCTTTTATAAATAAAGTGTCTCATTCCTTCAGCTTTTAATCGCTTTTGGAGATTTCAAAGATCATTTAGGACTGAATCTTCCCATACTTTGGCTGTGTCATTTTCTTTAAGTTTTATGGAGTGTTTCTCTCCATGAGGTCCAGCATATTTTCTTGCATGTTCATCCCAAACTCACTACCATGTCCACATCATTGGCCCTCTTCTATTTAAACCTAATTATCTTACTCACTGTAACTGGAATAATGCACCACTTCCAGGGTATCCAGTCCAAAGGTGTGCGAGTTAGGTGGATTGGCCATGATGAATTACCCACAGTCTTCAGGGATGTGTAGATTAGGTGGATTAGCCATGTGAAATGCAGAATTACAGGGATAGCATAGGGGTGTGGGTCTGAGTGGAATGCTCTTCAGAGGGTTGGTGTGGACTTGTTAGGCCGAATGACCTGTTTCCATATTGTAGGAATTCTATGCATTCTATGGATCCCTGTCACTGGCTTCATATGAAAAAGGTTGTTGTGAATCCAGTTAAGCCCTGGCAGTCTGGAGCTGGCCTGAGCGCATTCTCCGTGGACATGGCAAATAAGGGGAAATTGGTTCAATGGTTTCAGGACCTGGAGCTCCTGGGGGGTTGGTGCAGAGGAGGGACATCCTTATCCATCAAGACAGACAGAGGTGGCCACTATATTGGACCCTACCAGCTTGGTTCTGAGGTCACTACCCAGATCAGTACGATCTCCACTATCTGGAGAAACACCCAGCAATTCAAAAAGACGGTCAATGACTGTTATGGTTCCATGAAGCTAAGTACCGGCATCTGGTTTCTGTGACCTTACACTCACTCCACTTCCGCTGCTGCGCCCACGTCCCTCCAACGCTCATGTTTTACCACTCCCATCACCAACTGCAAGATCTTCTTCCAATTATTCTCATCCACCTCAAACCCTAACACTCCTAATGCTCTCTGTTGTGCCTCTTCACTCACCCAGGACATTTCACACCTTTGCCCCACGTGCAGCATCACTAACAGCTCTGCACCTTCCATCTTACTCAATTCATCTCTTTCGCTCATTCCAGGATTACATGGCTTATAACAGGGCTGAAACAGCCAGGGCAGGAGGTGGGCTGCTGAATATTCCTCTCCTCATCCTCCCTGAGGAGAGGATCTTAGAACTTACAACTGCTCCTGTGGAGACACAGAAATCTCCAAGCCCCAGTGTCCAAGTAAGAAGCATTGTTCATGCTGGGCTACTATTCCATTACCTTCATTGTAAGTTCTTCGTGACTATGCCACTTCTAATCCTTGGTGATGAGATCATGGATGTCCACAATGGCAAAGGTTTGAGAGGACTGCTCTGAGTGACATGCCATCTTCCAACTCTGCAGTAGGGAGCATGGATGCCTCAGAAGGAGCATTGGCAAGGCTACCCCTCTCTGCTCAGATACTAACACCTCGGTGGCATTTTATCTTGATTAGCATTGGGAGCACCAGCTGGTGAACACTTCATTACCACTTCTGTCAGCTGGTTGAGGAAGAAATGCCCCAATTTGCTACCACTCAGAGTTCTAGCTCCTGCTCAGCTCCAAGTTGGAGAGTGCGGCATAGTGCCAACCATTAGCAACCTCATGCAAATGCATTGGCAAAACACAGAGTAACTGGTAGATTGGCTGCAGGCAATCGGCAACATGACACAAAGTCTCCAGGACTGTAGCAACACCACTGGGACTCTGCGTCTTCAGGCAGGTGATCCATGGATATGTTGGCAGCATCGATAAGGAACTAGATTCACCAGTCTCAGATTCTGCTCGATATGTGCACAGATTTGCATTCCAGCACTCCAGCCATTAATGCTCAGGACCAATGCCAACATTTCATTTCCATTCTCTATTACCTGTTGAATCTATATGTTCGATTCTTGCTTTGTACAAAATGACCCTCAACTCTATTTGTGCTGCAACTTTCTGCAGTCTTTTTCCAGTTAAATAATATTCAGCTCCTGTTCTTCCTGTCAAATTGCATAATGTCACATGGCTCCATATTATATTCCATTTACCATACTAGCTCATGAAGGTCATCATAAATCAGCAACCTTGTAAAGACACTCATGTATCTCAGTTATAATGTGACTAGCTATTACATATTATGTAATAAACCTGTTCTATTGTCAGGACTAAGACTACTTACTGCCAATGACTTTGTGCAAGCATCCTTCCCATTTGGTGCTAGTAAATTTGAGTAATAATACCAACAAGAAGGATTGATGGCATCCAAGGCATCTCAGATGGTTCGGCTGGTCATGTCTTCAACATATACCATGAGGTTACAGCTGCTATCTTGTACCAATATTCACTGCCAAATCTGTTTGTAATTTTGAGTATGTTTTATTTTCTTCATTTACTGTTAATTAGAACCTGGAATTCGTTTCTGTGGAATCTGAAATACAGAGGCTGAGAACTCAGGCTGTGTCCAAGTAATTGACCATGTATTGTTCACCCAGGACATGATTACATTGATGTGATGAACAGAGAAAGCTATTTTCTCACAAAGATTGGATTAAGGTGTTTTGACTACTCGTGGGTTTGATAATGAAACCAGATGTGAAACTTGCACCGGTCATTCAACTGTAGAGAAAGGTTGCAATAGCATTGAACTAATTAGCAAATTGTAGGGAATAGAATGTGATGAAAAATAGGTCAAAGTCCTTGCAGAAAAGCTTTCAGTTACCATATAAGCAAATCTGGAGATTCTCACTGATTGATTGAATTTGGGTTATGAATGAACTCAAAACACCTTAAGAACTTGCACTTGCTCCTTGTATCATGCTTACCTTTTCTATGATGAACAAAAGATTTCTGCTCCTTATTAATAACAGCCATGTAGAAACTGAAAATGTTGCTCTGAAAGCAACTGAAAGTCATTGTACACTTACCATGTTATTTTATTTCTCCATGCAATTGTAAAAAAAAAAGCTTGTAAGGCTCAGGGGCTCTTGTGGTGCTGTGATAGTGTCCCTTCTACGAGTCCAAAAAGTCTTTGTTCAAGTCCCACCTTCCCTGGAAGTGAGTCATAACATATCTGAGCTGGTTGATTAAAAAAAAATGTGAGATATATTTTAATCAATAATTTCTTTCCAGAATTGAATATGAAACTTAGGATAATCTTAGTGATGCAAGAGCATTCTTAAATAAAATTGACACTTTGTCGAAATGAATGCCATTCGAGAATGTCTGATCCAATGGGAACTCAACTGCATAATGCATGACTATTGCCATCAGTTGTGGTGTGGTATCACCCTTATCTAATAATTCTTGCTGTTCTAGATCTATTAATTTTAATATTATTTTTAAATGATGATTGCACCCTTAGCAGTGTACATCCTTGATATCTGAACCTGCTACATATCTGCACCAGGAACATATGAATGTATGAATTCGGTGTCAGAGTTGCCATTCAGTCTTATTAGGCCTGTTCTCCCATTCAAGAAGATCAATCTGATTGTAACCTCAACTTATTTTATCTTTTTCTCCTTGTTCCCTGTAATATTTGACTTACATGTTAGTCAAGAATCTATCGTCCTGTGCCCACACCTCCACTGCCTCTGTGGAAGATAGTTCCAAATACCCAAAAAGCTATGAAAGAATGAAAAGTCCTCTTCTGCTCCATCCTAAATGGGAATCCTCTTAATCTGAAAACATGTCCCCTAGTTCCAGTTTTTCCTAGAAGGGGAAACATTCTTTCACCATTACATTGTCAAGTCCTCTCAGGATCTTATATATTAAATAAGATTGAATCTCCACACCGTGGAGTAGGCCAACGGCCCATCAAGTCCACATTTGACCCTCCAGACAGCATCCCACCCAGATCCATCACCCTACAACCCTGAATTTCCTATACATAATCCACCTAGCCTATACACCCCTGGAATCTATGGGCAATTTAGCATGGCCAACCTACCTAGCCTGCACATCTTTGGACTGTGGGAGGAAACCGACAGGGGTAGAATGTGCAAACTCTACACCAACAGTTGCCCAAGGGTGGGACTGAACCCGGGTCCTTGAAGCTGTGAGGCAGCAGTGCCAATCACTGAGCCACTGTGCCACCCACTTATTTTTCCAAGCTCCAATGGATACAGGCCCAACCTGTTCAAGCTTTCATCATAAGATAATACCCATCCCAGATATCAGTCAAGTGTGCCTATCTCTGAGCTGCTGCTAATACATTTACACCCTTTCTTAACAAAGGAGGCAAAACTGTAAATAGTTTGCCAGATGTGGCCTGACCAACTACTCCCTAATTTACATCCCATCCCTCTTGCAATAAATGACAATAGCCTATTTGCCTTCCTAATCACTTGCGGTACCAGCATATCCATTTTTATGTTTTGTAGTGCCATCAAATTTTACAGTATAGAAGGAGAACATTTAACCCATCGTGTCTGTACCAGCTCCTGAAAGAGCTACCCAACTAGTCCCATTCTCCAGCCCTATCTCCGTAACCCTCTAAATTCATCACTTTCAAATATATGTTCAGCTCTCTTTGAAACCTCCAGTACCAGTGTATCTCATGTACCACTGTTGCCTCTGTAGCATAGAGTTATGCAATCTCTTTCTATTTAAGTAACATGCTACTGTTTCATTTTTCCAGCCAACATTAACAAGTCCACAATAGAACCTATCTGCCAATTTTTTTGCAAAATCACTTATCCTATCTCTACCCCTTCAGAGATTCCTTCTGTTGTTTTATTTTAACACTTATCTTCATATCATCAGCAAATTTAGCAACTATACTTTGGATCCCTGCATCAAAGTCATTTAGACAATTTATCAATAACTGATGCATCACACTCGATCCATGTGGGACACCACTCATGCCATTCCGCCAACCCAAAAATGACTTATTTATGCCCATGCCCTGCTTCCTATTATCCCACTCTTCTAACATATTATATCCATAGCATGAGCTCTTATGGCTTTTTATTTTATGTGGTAACCTTCGACATGGGACCTTGTCAAATATCTTCTGGAAATCTAAGTACAGTACATCAAAATGATTCTCCTTATCAACAATCTTTGTTACTTCTTCAAAGATCTCTAATAAATTAATCAAACATGATTTAACTTTCATAAAACTGTGTTGACTCTCCCCGACAATATTAACACTTTTGAAGTGTTCTTCTATAACCTCAATAAAAATCAATTCCAACATGTTGACTGTGTTAAGCAAACTAACAAATATTCTGCTTTCTGCTTCCCTCCTTTCTTCAGTACAGGCATCAAATTCGTTACCTTCCAATCTGACGGGACCTTTCTGGAATCTAAGGAATTTTGGAAAATCAGCACCAATGCATTTATATCTCAAAAGCTATTTCTTTAACATCCTCATGTGGAATCCATCAGTGCCAAGAGATTTGTAACATTTTAGTTCTAGTAACTTACTCAATACCCTTTCCTAGTGATTGCAGCTGTTTTCAATTTCTTGTTCTCTTTCTCATTCTAATGAATAATTGTTTCTTGGATTTCATTTATATTCACTACAGTGCAAACAGAAGCAAAATATTTGTTGAATTTACCTGCCACTTCCCCATTTTATTATTAATTAATCTCTGATTTACCAGACTTACTCTCTAGAGGACAAATACTTACCCTCATTTTGAATATCTATGGAAATGTTGATTATTTTTTTATTTTTTGCATGTTGCTCCCATACTCTAATTTCTCCTTTTTTATTAATCCTTTGTTATTCTTTGTTTTTTTTTTAAATTCTGTTCAATTTTTAGACACACCACTCATCTTCTGTGGAATTATTCATTTCTTCTTTCAGTTTTATACCAGCTTTAACTGCTGTAGTTAGAATCAAGCACAGTCTGTCAAGCCTGTCTGGTTGATTTATTAGAGTATTTTGAGGAAGTTTCAACCAGAAAAGATAGAGAGGAATTTGGACTTCCGGAATGGGTTTGACAAGGTACCTCACGAAAGGTTAATCTTAAGATAAGAGCCCATGATGTTAAAGGTAGTATATTAGCATGGACAGAGAATTAGCTCACGGGGAGGCACCAGTGAATGGGGATAAGGGGTTCTTTGTCAGGTTGGTGACCTGTAACAAGTAGGTTCCTCTGGGATCAGTTCTGGGGCCACACGATTTACAATATACATTAATGTCTTGGAAGAAGGAAGCAAATGTACTGTAGCCAAATTTGGAGTCCACACAAAAATAGATGGAAAGGCAAGTCATGAGGGAGATACAAACAGATTACAGGGAGATATTGATAGGTTAAGTAAGTGGGCAACAAGTTGGTAAATGGAATATAATGTGGGAAAATGTGAAGTTATTCATCTTGGAAGGGAGAACAAAAGAACAGAATATATTAAAATGGGGGAAAGCTGCAGAGAAGTCTTACTACAACTATACAAGGTACTAGTGAGACCACAGCTGGAGTACTGTGAGCAGTTGTGATCCTTTTATTTAAGGAAAGACATTGTTTCATTGGAGACATTTCAGAGGAGGTTCACTAGGGTCATTCCTGGTATGGAGAGATTGTCTAATGAGCAAAGGCTATCAGGTTTGGTATCTATTTGTTGGAGTTTAGAAGAATGAGAGGGTGTCTCATTGAAGCATATAGGATTCTTAAGGGGCTTGTTAGAGTAAATGCTGAGTGGATGTTTCCCCTCATGGGAGAGTCGAGGACCAGAGTGCATTGTCCCAGAAAAAATGGGCACCAATTTAAGACTCAGGAAAGGAAGAATTTCTTCGCTCAAAGGTTGAGAGTCTCTGAGGCTCCTTGCCACAAAGAGCTGTTCGGGCAGTGTCCTTGTGTATATTTAAGGCAGGGATAGATATAGATCCTTGCCCAGTAAGAGGATTAGGTGTTATGGGGAAAAGGCAGGAAAATGGATGTGAGGAGTGTTAGTCCAGCGATGATTCTGTTGAATGATGGAACAAACTCAAGGGGTCAAATGGCCTACTCCTGTTCCTATTTCTTGTGGTCTTATGGTCCAAGCCAACTGAGCATCCTTCACTCACAATCTCTTTTTATCACCAGGATGTGCTTTTTCTGAATATTCCAAAACTGTTCCTTAAATATATGCTGCTATACCTCTGGTTACCCAACCATTAACCTAGTTTTTCAGTTCACTTTAGCCAGCTTGTCCTTCATGCTGTCAGAATTGCCCTTATTTATGTTCAATCCACTCTTCTCTCACTCAGACTGAATAGAAAAATAAGTCATGCTTTGATCATTACTACATAGTTGTGCCTTCACTATGAAACCATTTTTTTTCTGATTGTACGTAATCAAATCTAGTATAGCTCACTCTCTGGTTAGCTGTAGTACATGCTGCTGTAAGAAATTGTCCGCAAAATACTCCAATGACTCATTAACCCCTTTCCGATCTGTTTCATCCAATTTTTATGCAGATTGAAGCCAACCATGGTTTTTCTTGTACCTTTTTCACAAGCCATTCCTCTGCCCCTAATCCTGTATACCCTGTCTTACAGTTTGGCTATGGGAGCTTACAAGCTATTTCTGTAAGTGAATTTTCACTTTTACTATTTTTCATCTCCACATAAATTTATTATAAATTCTTATCTCTAGAACAAAGGTCATCTTTCCGTATTGTGCCAATGCCATTTTTACTTTACAGTGCTAACTGCTCAGCTTTTCCTAGTTTTCTGTCCTTCTTAAATGACATGTAGTCTTGCGGAACTGGTCACCAAGCATTTTAGATCCCTTCCAAAACGACCAATACATACATGTGTGGCCAACTGTGCCGTTTCTTTCTGTTAACCATAAGAGGTGCAACATTTATTTGCACACCAGTAATTCCTGACAAATGCAATCAATGGATGTGTGCAACAGCTCCCCGCTTCTCCCTGCATTATCAGACAGTACAATATTATAAAGATGTGGTATTATTTGGGTGAATAATATTTTGAATAATTTTTAAAAGATTTTTGCAGTGTTATTATAATTTGATTAAAATATTCAAATTGTGATTAAATTATCTTTTACATATCAACAGTCATCTCATTGCTAGTACATTGGAAGAAGGTGGTAAAGTTACTAAGC